GGTCTATCAACCTTTGCTTCAGCTGTTGATCGTGGTTCATCGTCACAAGCCCTTCCTTGGTTAGATTACAAAGATTTTTCAAAGGTTTACTAAATTAACAAAGAGGAAATTACCTGATGGGATTTAAGATATGCCTAGACTACATGATAATTGTAACGAAAAAATCTCCATGTAACATGAAACTTAAATAAAAAAATAGCATAGTTTGCTCCTGCTAACAGCTCTTGTATTGGACTATTCCTAGGCTATGCTATGGTTTAAGACGAATACCAAGTTCAATTATTAGGAATATATCTGTTTAGTCCTTACAAGAACAAAGCTACTATAGCCAACTTGTTACATAGCCAAATAGGCCTACATGTTATTTTTACTTTACAAATTTCAACATGTTTAAATTAAAAGCCGATTTCAGGATAAGTTGCTGAATACTGTTTTCTGTACCAACTAGGTTGAAGCTCAATTTGCCCTATGCATAATGACAATAAAGGACGATTTCTTGACATTAAAAAGTGTTATTCATAGAACAAGTAACTTATCACTATGGTTAAAAGTTATAGCAATGTTGTTTTTAACATTAAAAGTAAAGAAAGGCAATAAACTCCAATTTCAATAGGCTAGGCTCTGTAACACAAAAAAGTATTTTTAAATAATCGTTTTACAGTTTAAGTGGTCTTAATTGTTGATATAAGACATCTATATTAAAGAAATAAAATGAGTTTTTAAAATATAGTTTGGTTTATGTCCTTTAAACTTAATGAAATTTACATATAAGATGCTTAAAAATAATGCAATATTTCAAAATAAGTACTAAATATGATGGGACACCCAACTATTTGATGCTGTGTTGTTAATGTTAGGTTTATAATGCCAACAAATTAAATAAAATCTAGGAATAATTTGTTTTCCAAGTAATGTTAGATACAATACTGACATTTCTTGTTTAAATGTTTGTTCAATAAAAATGTTGTTGCAATTAATTTTACATTTACCTAATGTGCATGGAATAAAAAGTAACATATTTGGGAAAGTAGCTAAAATTGTAGCTGTAGCTACATTTCATTGTAGCTGTAGTTGTAGCTAGCTACTTTTTCGGAACTGTAGCTGTAGCTGTAGCTAAGCTACTTTTTTGGAAATGTAGCAGTAGTTGTAGCTAGCTACATTTTAAAAGTAGCTTCCCCAACACTGATATTTTATCTCTCTTAATCGGCAAACCCTTAATTCTAAATTACGTATTTAATATATTAAATAGGACCCAAATTATTGCTGAGAAAACATTTAAAAGCTAGTAAAATGGTGTTTGTTGAGAACAGTACATTTCAAGACATACTATACCTGTTGAGAATAATGCTTATTCTTTCGCCTCTACAATAAAGTCTCAATAGGAGTAAGGTCTCAATAACCTTACTTTTACAAAAGTATTTCGGTTTGTCGACCTCTAGTGTGTTGACTAGAGAGCGTTATGGCTCTAAAGAATATGTTACACAAATAACTATTTCTTAATTATTCGTTTTCTAGCGCTGATTCCAAAACTGATAGTATTATCATGGATAAAACATACTCCCTTAGTAGATTTCTCATCCTAATGGAACAGCTGAAGACAATTTTATTGTTAGTTCTGTACGGTTTATGTTAGAGGTCGTGTTTTGTTTACAATTTGTTTCCCGTTAATACAGTCATTTAAAACCTCGTTTAACCAAATAATACGATCTAATCATAAACAATAAATTGTCCCCTAGTTATTTAACCAAACAGTAAAGCACAAATCAAGAAATTAACCCTAAAATAATAGAAACAAAATTTCGTCGACACTAGCGCCCAGTGTGGCGTACATGAACTAGACATGAAAAACGAGCTTCAAAATTTAAAATGGGATGAGAAGTCTACTTGTGTTGGTTAGTCTATGGTATTATATTATTTGCATTTATATTGATTACAAATATATGCAAGAATGCAAGAAAAACTAATTTGGCACAAAATAATAATTTTCAGTTGTGGTTTATAACATAACAAACTACACTACATACTTCTTTTAAAAGGCTCAAAATTGGCAATATTGAACGAATTTGTCTCTGTCATGAAATACAGTTTTTTAGACTGTACAAATTTGTTAAAATAAAATGTAACGTATCATTTGTAATACAGACATATAGTCCTTGAAGATCTTTTTTTTAATCTAATTTCATAACCCTACAATTACTAATACTAGAATAGTTTCTAGCTTTTCATAGAATTTCTGGTTCATAAGAGTTAGCTACTTTTAACCCCTATAGATGAGATATTGGTAATTATGTCAACCTCCAGTCAACGCTCTAAAAACTCATTTTTTTATCTGTTCGTTTTTTACCGCTGATTACAAAAATGACAGTAATTTTTTTGGAAAAGTATCGTTTTCCCGGAAAAGCTGAAAAACAAAAACACATTTTCCCCCTAAATCCATGTTGTGGGTACTCAAAGTTGTGTGGCTAACCTTATCTAACCAAAACTAATCTAACCAACATGATCACTACACAACATGACTTTTGGGCAAAAAAGTGTTTTTCCGTTTCCGCGTTACAAACTAACGGAACACGGACGGTTTAGGCGGGCTTTTGCGAGGTTATTAGATAGACGTTTGATCGTAATGAAGAATACACCGTTGAATTCGTCGTCAAATTCCGAAAATTTTGAGTATGAACCAACGACACTTTTCTGCAAAAAAACAGTGTTTTCGGTTTTTCTGCTTTTCCGCAAAAAATGACTATTATTTTTGGAAACAGCGCTAAATAAAAAGGAACAGTAAACAAACCATTTTTTAGAGCCTTGACTGGAGGTCGACATAATTACCAATATGCCATCTATGGGGGGTAAAAGTATCATTCCTATGAACCAAAATGTTATGAAAAATTAGAAACTAGTTGTATTACCGGTTGTACAGTAGTAGGTCATCAAATTAGATAAAAAAATATTTAACGACTATATGTCGTGCTCAATTGTGGATTGGCCAGATTGCAGCGTCATGGAAACGAAGTCGGATCACAAGTTGACTTCTTCAATGAACAGTTGTCCTCCTAGCTTCAGAAGAAAAACCTCTAAAATTATCTTTGCTATGCCTGTTTTGTAGATTATGTATGTTTGTTTTGTCCCAAAATCTGTTATTTCTTGTTATTCATTCATAGATTTATTGTTGTTAATGTTTCACGTAGAAGCTATTGTCATCATAGTTTATAATACATTGTTAAATCTTCAGTAGATATCTGTTATTACTATACTTTCAAAGTCTACATGCATTTTCTGAAATCCAAATTAATATTAAATATTTTTTTGTTATTATCTGTTATGCTGTCTGTTTGTTGTTATTATAGCCTACTTTGTTAATGTTATCATCTGTTATTGTTGTTACGTTGCTATCTTGTTGTTATTACTTTTTGTTGCAATTTGATGTTTTGTTCAATAGTATATGCAGCTTCTCTTATTATTTTAAATGCAATTTTTGTCTTTCCATTCTACTCATGTGCTTAAATATACATTATTTTGTAAATGGTATCCGTTGGAATAAATAAATGTCTGTATTACAAATAATGTTACGGTCCATTTTATTTCAACAAAGTTTTACAGTCTAAAAATAGTGTGATATGACAGAAACATATTAGTTCAATACACCTTTGAGCCTTTAAAATAAGTATGTAGTGTAGTTTGTCATGTTCTAAACCACAAATGAAAATGATTATTGTGACTTATTCGTTTTACTTGCATATATATAAAATAAGTCATACATTTTGGGGCCATTTCCAAAAATGGCATTGCAAATTAGTCGTATATGCATACAGTAACAACTTAAATCAAAACTTTGGACATTTTGAAAAAAAAATCATTTAAAGCTCAGATGAGTCACGAACTGACTTTAGTAATGGTTGTACATTTAATAGTTTGCTCTTGCTGCAATGTACTGAGATACACACAATAGCCTAACTCAAATAATCATCATGAACTATGTATTTCGTATTTGTTCCGTTTCAAACAGATAACTTAATTCATATAGCGGCCTTCAGATACCGGTGTGTCGTCACATGACGTATCTGTACTATATTAAGTTTACATTGAGTTGAGATACAGACATTCAGATTCAAGTCTTCATTAGTAAGATATTATTAGACTCTCCCGCAAAGGTCAGACACCAGAGGCCAGCCTCTTGTTGTTTATGCAGTTTAGCTCTTTACTTCCACTTCAATAGACTCATTTTATCGAATTACTGTAAATTGCATTATAAATAAATAAATACTTTATTGTCTTGACATTACAGTAGTAACACGAACAAACAATAATGTAATTTGTGTTTGATAGTGTTAACCTCTCCCTTCTTTGGTGGTGTCCTTTAGACGAAATGTAATCTTTATATGTAGTCCATAAAGATTAACTAACTTTAACAAATCCTGGTAGGGATCCATTTAGTAAATTCATATTTATTGGATGAATTTGAAAGCGGGTTGTTGATTTCACGACTGTTAAATTTTCTAAACACGTTTTTTAATATAAGATAATGTATAACATCCACATTTAATCCGTAATCGTGAAAAGTAAAAATACTTGGCCAGAGTAAAATTATTGAGAACCGAGCGTATGCGTGCATCTTAAGTATAGAATTCTATACTGTATATCTATAAATATTATCTTTAGATGCAGGCGTCTCTTATCTGTGACTCAACCAAAGCCGGTAACGGAACGGAACTGAACGGAAGAGGAACTATAGGTGATAATTATTTATGGTCAAGGCCAGGGTCAGACACGGTATGGAATGAACATAACTTAGCTCAATACAACACAATCAGCCAAAACAAATGTAATAGAACCACCCCTTGTTTTTACATATTTACACACAAGATTGCCATCCTTAACTACGTTACGTTGTGTAATAATCTGTAAACATGAACGAAACGTCAAAGTGAAAGTTTTACAAATGGAATGTCTACAAGGTGTGTTAAGTTATTTGTAAACAGTTATAGTTACAATACGGAGGTACTTACGCTAACAACACTACAGCTGAGCCTACGATCCGTGGGGACTTAGACTTAACGATTTTCTTTTCTTGAAGAACACTATTGTTGATAACCAACACCATTTTTAGTCTAACCTAATCCTAATCTTGAACTGCGCAGTAGGAGTCTCACTTCTCACTTCTCGTTCTCACTCTCTCTATTGACATTGACGTCGCTGGTTGCAAGCGCGTGCGCATAGAGGACAAAAAACTCGTGATAATTTCATGCCCACAGAGTAACATTTATAAACAGTAAACACTGTTATCTGCCAAACTTCGATTGCAAATTTAGTTGTTTCTTTTAGCAGTCTGGTGCAGATCAAACGTGACGTGACCTGAGGGCTGTGATGACGTAGACTGGGGAATTGCTCAAGTGATTTGAGATAATGTTTTGTATTTATAACGATTAGGAAATGTTCTTTTGAAAGAGTTTATTGAAAATTCTCTAGGGTTTTAGGTGATATTGTGTTACACAGATCGAATTGTAAAGGTCTAAGAATATAAAATGGTTTTTTGCTTGGACGTTATATAATATTTTACATGTACCGTAATTTAAGTTTAGAGTTTCTTTATAAACTACTAAGCAGTTTCCGAGTTATTTTACACAACTACATGCCACACAACTTCCAAAATAATTCTTTTACAATAGTTAGACCTAAAGGAAAGTGATTTAAAAAAAACCTAGTGTACCTGTTGCTCTAATTCGTGCAATTGATCCGTATATTACAGGCGTTATTTTAAAACGAATAACAGTCATAATTTCTGATGACTTTAAAAGATTCGACTCAAAGATTATGGAAATACTCAAGATGTACATAATAGATATCTTATAATTTTTTAAAAGCTGGTCTAGTTTTTTTGTGTTTTCTACAAATAGCCTTACTCATAGCCGCATTAGGTTGTCCATAATAACGTTTATAAATAAAAAAAATATATTTATATTATTTTTTTCTCTTTGGTGGTGTTCTATGACTTTCCTATGTTTCCATAGTTTGCAAATCGGCTCTTTCAATGATTACTAAGAAATGTGTTAATGTGCAGCATAGTGTTAATTCAGTTTTCTTTTTAGTATATCAAATTATCCATGCTCTCTCGCTTTTTCCATTGTAATATTTACGCCAACCAAGGCCACACTAAAAACCCAAATTCAAAAAGTAAATATTTCTTTTCGACCAAGTCAATAAATGTTTGTACAGTAGCAACTGTTAAATTAGCAAACTTATTGACCGTTTACAATTATCATATGTTTTTCTTCTCACTTTTAATTTCTGACAACAGCTGGAGTTTCATAACAATTTTTCCCCATGTTAATCTTATGGAGAAATTCGAAACTTAAAGGGCCCCAGCGCCTCACTCTCTAATTATTTCCCTAAAAAGAAAGTTTCTTGCACATTTTCATTTTACGCTCTTTCCAATGACACCAAAACATGTCAATAGGTTTAGTAGTTTCGTATGAGTAATTGTCACAAAAAACCTGCTTGCGTATTAAATAAGTATAGATAGGTATATAGATATATATACGTATCTTTGTAAAAAATACGAATGTAACGGTACGTTCTGAGTGCACGCTGATTCGGATTCAAATTTAGATTTCGGCGGCACGAATGGGACATACATTACGGAAGTGTCCATAGTGTCCGCCGGAAGCCGAGCCCGCGCGCAGGCACCTGCTTGGGATTTATTCTTAACAGCTGATAATTTCTACTTGAATCTCCTCTTGAATTAATAGGCAAAATTATTTGTATAGATTGACCGTCTATAGCACCTTGTGAAATGGCGAAATGTACTTTTTGATTTGTACATTACAGACACAATTAATACTATGCATTCACTTTAAAATTATGTGTCTTTGTACAGACTTTTGCGATTATTTTCCTAAACTATATACAAAATATCAGTAAAGGTTTGTCAAATGTTATATAGGACAAAATGAAATCATGGCTTACAAACTATTTGCTGTGACTTAAAGGTGTCAATGAGTTTGAACTAAATGAATTCAAAAAAGATTTTGCATAGAAATATAGGATTAGTGATTTAGCGAAACTTATTATTTTGTGCTCGCTGGTCAAGGGGGTTTCGATAGTATCAAATATCGAATACCGGTACTTCCGTAGCATTTGGAAACGGGATATTGGAGGAACAGAATGACAATTTAGCTGAATCAGGTGGATTGCGGGTAACGGACGTGATATGACAATGATATGATATAAAGTACAAGAAAAACATTATTATTTGAATTTGAAAATACTCGTTAACTAGAGTTTAATTTCATAAATATTATGCAAAACACGAAGTGTGTTTCCCGCTGAACGTACTTTGAGTGCGCTGGTTATAAATGTGTCTTTCTTAAACAATTGTATATTTTACGACATACTTTATTCTCTAACTTTAATAGCCTACTAGAAGAAAAGCTATATTTTACAAACAGATTAAGGTAAAATAACCTTATACTATTGTAAACAATAAAACACTTTCTGTACTAACCAGACAGAAACAACCCCTAAAACTATCTGCAACTGATCCGAAATTATTATAAATCTAACGAAATATGTTTAAACCGGCGACAAATGCACCATAAATCACCCTGGCGTGTCGGAGTCTGGAGCGACTTTTATCAACAACATTAACACCTCCAACTATAATATTTCTTGGTCACGTGAGCCTCGTGCTCGTAGTTTGTTAACAGCTGCTTGCTTTTTAAACTTTTTCCGGCAGCGTGCGGTTGGTGACAACTGGGGGCGGACGAGGGCGGACGGCGGCGGCGAGTCAGTAGTCAGTCGTGGTGCCGCCTCCGGTACAGCACCACCGCCCCCGTCAATACATGAGGAGGTATGCATCGTAAACTTATTTAGAATATATATCTCGTTGAAATTTATTTCATTTGTGCTGGTTATTTCATGCTGGCATTGTGTCCTTCAGATTATTTATAAATATTCGTGGTATCGCCCACGGTCCTATTTACTTATTTACTACACTACTTACCAGACTTAAAAGTAATAACTAAAGGTCATACAAGTTGAATTTTGTTTCTAAAAGCGTTGGTGGATATGTAACTATTATATGCAACAGATTAAAAGATTAAAATGTTTCTATTTTTTGGCCTCTCCCCGTTGCAAAGCACGGGTGCAACAGCTAGTACCCAACGATATAAACAACACTGTTCTTTACATCGTTGCTAGTACAGTACCACTATAAAATTAAAATTAATCTAAAAAAAAAATAAAAATAAAACTTTATGAAGGTGTCTACCAATGATGAGTTACAATGGTAAAATAATACCCAACGCATAATTATAAAAAAACGACGAAGATACCTTTAGTTGTAGATAATCGCCTGCAATATGGGCCTCCTATTTAAATTTTGAGTATGTTGTGCCAAAAATCATCATAGAGGCTTGAAATACGTTAGCTTGAATATTACTAATGTTTATTTTATTAAAATTATTTAATATTTTTTAGAGCGTTTGAAGTCGGTTGTTTTTTTTACAAAAATAAATTATAAATTATATTTATTTGTAAACATTGCAGTTCAAAAAGTCTAACATTGGCCCACTTAAAACCCTCTGCGGCGGAGCCCTTTTACGGATCTGCACCAAACTTTACACAAACCTGGATAATTAAATTGCTGTTAATATTTTAGTTGCAATTTAAGGAAACGTGTGCTACAAAAATTTACTGAAATATTTACTACCATGGTGGAAGGAAAAACATAGGTGTGCTATTCCCGTCATTTGCTGACGTCATCCAGATTGCAAACAAAAAGTCAGCTGATGTATTGCCATATAAGTATATACTTGTTTTCATTTGATTGTTATTGTTTTTATAATTTTTCTAAATGGATTTTACCATTCAGGCTTCAGAACGTAGGCCTACGCCAGTCAGTATTTAAAAAAAAAATAGCAAACAGGTCAAGCTCAAAAGAAATCAATCCTAAATTCCCAAACTATAATAATCTCATGAAATAATAATACAGTATATTTTTACAGTAGGCAAACGTCAAAGGTTTTGACTATGAAATAATTTCAATTTAAACTCAAGTCAGTCAAGTCGACTACAAATTTTGTTCAGTATAACCATTAACTATATAAACACTAATGTTGATATAGTCAATGGACTATGCAATAAAATTGAAAATAACAATGAACAATGACACCAGAGTTAAATTGTAAATTCCAACAAAATTCCAGGGGTAAAAGTTCGGTGTGTACATTTTCTTGATTAACTCGACTTAATAAACCCATTGATGAATTGGATGAAAACACTTCCACCCTGTAGGCTCTCCTCATGACGAAAGGGTGTTGTCACTGGGAGGGTTGCGTAATATATAGTTGTAACTGGGGTAGAGAGAGCGTGGCAACACATCGACTCAACAAAACTTTAGCCATATCCACCCCTCTGGAGTAGAAGTTTGGAGTTAAGAAACAAGCCGGAGATATGAAATTCGTTAAAATCCATACAGTTTAACTGTCATGTAATGTGGCTATTTGGGCTTCCTTAGTGAATGGCGGGATATGGATAAGAACGCAGGCCTCTTATAAGTCCAGCATTGTAGTTACTAGACTTGAATATTCACGATACATAAATAAATAAAAATACCTGTAAAGGCCCACAATTTCAACATATTAATTACATACATTTACGCTTACTGTTAGTAATCGTAAATTAATGTAATTAATTTGTAATTATTTTGTTAACGTTACTATTGAACTTTTTAAGATGTGGACAAAACAACAGACTCTAATTTGTACACTCTATCTGACAGTTACACAAGTTTCATCAAATCAAATCCCCTAAATGTAAACAATAAATTGCAGAAGAATTAAGCGGATATTTCGAATAATAGGAATTGTTTGTAAAAACAAATATTAAATAATCCTATTTGTCCTTCACTGTTTATAGTAAAACTTTGTTAAATGCCGGGCAGAAATTGAAATATGACTCAGTGACAAGATAATGGATAGTGACGTGATCTGCTCTGCATGCTAAACGTTGACTCTGTCAACGCTAGTGAAAGCCGACATGCATGAATTGTTTTTTTGGATTGTCTTGTTTTTAGCGAATTTTCCTATAGGGAATAAGCTATTACCGTAGGTCTCATGGCAATACTTATTACCGGGACCGATTTACTTTTTCATTTTGAT